TACTAGAAGCTCTGATCAGATTTGCTTAAAAAATTATGAGATAATTCAAAGTTACTCAAATATAGTACTTAAATTAGGTATGCAATTAAGAACAACATATTACATTTACAAGCATTAAATGTATTCTTGGAATTGCGCTAATGCTTTATAATGAGCTTATTCTTATAAGCTCATTATAAAGCATTTCAATGAGTCTCAATTCTTAATTCTGTAGCGTATTACTTTTTAAATAAAATGATGCTGCCACCGAATATTATTGCTACGTATTATTTTTAATGAAATAAAATTGTGAATATAAAAAGGAACATATGGCAACGCAGCACTCTATGTAGAATTCTAAAGATATGCTGCTTTTAAAATTTTATGATTATTTGAATTTTATGAAAATTTTATTGAAAAATTTTATTGTGAACCAAACTCATAGAGGATATATACTTTGATCACTGTGGCATTTTCAAATCAAAGCATGAGAACTGATTTGAACATGTACAATTATCATTCTCCGTTATATGGAAAAAGAAAGGAAGTACAGTACAAAGTCTGTAATCCGGACTCGTCAAAACTTCAGCGAATCCGGATTATACATCATCAATTTAAATCTAGTAAGATGGATGCAGAAAGTATACAATTAAAAATATGAAACCGTAATTTATGAAATAAAGAGCAATTATGATCTAAAGGGTATCAAATTTTACAAAAAAAAAAAAAAAAAAAAAAAAAAAAAAGAGCTTAATATTTATTTGTTTACTTTACTAAACATTTCTGACAATGCATGCATGCGTAAAACATACATTATGCGCATGCGTAAAGTTTGTGGGTTTGAGGTCTGGATTATGGACTTTGTAATGTATAATAGTAAGTAACTACCTAAGATTATTGTTTTAATTTAGATGAACGGTTAATTTCATATAATACATTTTTATTATTATAATTTACATAAAAAAGGTTAAACATAACTGAATGGAAGCATAAGAGTAAATAACTATTTCAAATCATCATTATAAGTTATATAAGAAACATAACTGAATCGATTCCTTCATTGCTATTTTGCTACCGAGTTATCGTTAAAGCATAATTTCATCACGCTGGTTGTTCAAACATAATTTTCTATAATGAATGATGCCTTTTCTTTGAAAAAAGGTCTATTGCAGACTTTTCGTCACTGGGCAATTCCCAAATTGTTAAATCCATAAGATATCAAAAAAAGAATTTAAAATGAAAAAAAGAATTTAAAATGAAAAAAAGGATTTAAAAATTAAACTAGTCTTTCAATGGCGTCCTAAGAAATATAGAGCTATCTAAACTTACGCAATTTGAAATCAACACGTACGCTAGATTTGGCATGCTGTTTAAATGGGCGCGTTTGCTAGATTTGACGCTTTTGCGCATACATTTTTGCTGAAATTTTTTTACACTCCCCAAAATGAAATACAGTACAAAGTCTGTAATCCGAACTCGTTGGGACTTCGGCGATTCCGGATTAGGGGTTTTTCCGGATTATAGATCATCAATTTAAATCTGGTAAGATGGTATGCAGAAATTATACAATTAAAAATATGAAACTGTAATTTATGAAATAAAGAGCAATTATGATCTAAAGGGTATCAAAATTTACAAAAAGAAAAAGCTTAACATTTATTTGTTTACTTTATTAAACATTTCTTTCAATGCGCACGTGGGTAATGTATGTGCATTCTTTACGCGCATGCGTAATGTATGCACATTCTTTAAGTGCATGCATAATGTTTGCGGCTTTGAGGTCCGAATTATAGATCATTCCAGATAATGGACGTCCGAATTACGGACTTTGTACTGTAGTACCAAAAAAAAGTAGTACAGCCAAATATCGAAAATCTGCCAACTCCTGAAATCCTCGCTGCCTCTCAAAATATAAACATTCAGTTTATAGGTTCCGGAAACCGAAACATTGAGTACGAAATATCAAAGAAAAAATACTTAACTGAATAATAATGAGTCATAACGGAAATACCAAATTACTAACATCATGATAAGTTTTTCCCCCTCTAATCTGCATCGAGTAATGAATGATGCTTTTTCTTTGAAAAAAGGTCTATTGCAGACTTTTTGTCACTGGGCAATTCCCAAATTGTTAAATCCATAGCATTATCAAAAAAGGATTTAAAAATTAAACTAGTCTTTCAATGGCGTCCTAAGAAATATAGAGCTATCTAAACTTACGCAAAACTTACGCATCGAGGTAAAAAAGCAGACGATTCACTCAACTCTTCTTTCAAGTTCATGATTCCCGTTGTTGTAATTTCTGAGCTTTGTTATTTCACGAGATTATTTAGTGCTGCCTTTTTTTTACCCGGATATTTTGTGGATAAATTAAGAATATATTAAATTTCAGCCCTTTTTAATACAATGACAGATAAGAAACACACTCATTTTACTGCTTGCAACGTTCATAAACGTAAAGACATTGCATTGACGGTAATGCAAAAAATGCAAATTCTGCAAAAGATGGAGGCAGGTTCCATTCCTCGGTTTATAGCAGAATCGTATGGAATTGTGACAAGACTGTGTATGATATATGGAAAAATAAAGAAAAGCTTAAGACACAATAACACGCCGAATAAATACTAATTCAGAAGTCAAACAACAAAAATCAGCGTTATACCTACAAAATTTTCACAGGACTAGTTTCGATGGTTTTACCGAACCATCATCTTCAGCTAGGTATAACGTTGATTTTTGTTGTTTGACTTCTGAATTAGTAAAGAAAAGCTGTTGAAATTTTACACCAACGGTGATTCTAACACCAGAATCCGAAACCGGAAATCTTTGCATGAGGCGAAATCGGCAAACCTGGATGCTGTGTACATATAATATCAATAATATAATCAATTTATATATGTAATAATAATTTAACACATACAATAAATTATTGCAATAATGTATATAATAATTTAATTAAATGTATCTAATACGCCTTATTTATTTTGCAGAGTCTGAATATTATGATTTATCTTTTCTAAAATCCACACAACCTCTAGTCCCGAGCTTCGCGGATTTCTGGACTTTTACTGTACTTATAATAAACAATACAAACAATCAACCAGAAGTGATAAGGCCCATTGCTATTCTGCTATTCCAAACACGTAATTGATGAGAGGTCACGTGCTGGCCATATCAGATAGCTTTTTTAATGCATCATACATTTTGCCTTCTATTATGACACAATTCTACAAATCTGCTGGTAATACAGAAAAAGATAATGCTGCTTTAAAAAGTTTTTGTAAGAAGATTTCTTAATTTTAGTAATACATTTAGTCTCTTAAGTAAATTATCTAAAATAAGGACTAACATTATGATGGATTTCAAATAACATGATTTTTTTCATTTGTTTATTTTAAAAACACAATTTTCAATTTCACATTTTTGATAAATATCATGTGCATGAGTGAAGTAACAGAATAAAAATGCCAATTCTGAAACTAAAAACGCAAAATGATACATTCCACTTGGAATATTAATACAAAGATTTCCATCACCTTCAAAATAAATAAAGAAAGAAAGATTGAAGCATGTATATGAGAAATACATGTTCGGAAATCTCTCCAAACAGCACTATTTCGGACATTTTTAGCAATAAAATTGAAAGCCCTCAATAAAGGCAAATGAATATTTTCCCAATAATTAACAATGATAATATGTTATTAATTATTAAACACAAAGCTTTACATTACTTCAGTACAGTCAAAAGTCGTTAATTCGGACACCCATAATCTGGACCTCAAAGCTACAAACTTTCTGTGCATGCGTCGCTTTGACGTTTACGTGTGCGGGTAAGACCTTTACGGCTCGAATATACGTGTGCGCATGCGAATAAAACGTTTACGCATGCGCGTTTAATATATAACGGACGGTATAAGCTAAGCTAAAATCATCTAATTCAGTTAATGTTGCAGATTGCGTTGTTCCTTAATCTTCGAATTGGATCCGGCTTATTATTTTTTGCAGACTGTTACAGCAATTTTATAAAAGTAAGCTTGAACTTTCGATTATATCAAATAGAATTTCCGATATATACTTGCCAATATGCAAAGGATCTAAAGCGAAAGTATGTTTCGAAATCCGAAATCTGTTTATCAATTTCAGGCTGCGGCGGGAGGAACAACGCGGCGCACAATGAATTGGAAATTGATCTGTCTTCAGGGCATATGTTTTTATTTTATTTGGCTTATAATTCCTTACTAAATGATATGTTGAATGAAATTCCTTACTAAATGTCTTTGATATGATTTAAAACAAGTTCCTCGTCATTATAATTCGCTTCCGATAGTGAATAAAGTGACAGAGGTTATTGAAAACGAAAAAATTTCAATTGACAAATTAGTCGGTATTCTTGACACAGCAATTATAGGACTTGAACAGCAGAACTTTGTAACTAAACAAGAAATTATGTCTGTTTAATAGAATTAAAGAGAAAGTATTATCACATGAAACGAAGCAACTTAACAACTTACATTGAAACAAATGTTTTAAGTAAACAAATAAATATTAAGCTTTTTCTTTTTATAAATTTTGATACCCTTTAGATCATAATTGTTCTCTATTTCATAAATTACGGTTTCATATTTTTAATTTTGTAATTTCTGCATGCCATCTTACCAGATTTAAACTGATGATCTATAATCTGGAAAAATCGATAATCCGGAATCGCCGAAGTCCCGACGAGTCCGGATTAACGACTTTTGACTGTAATTATATAATTTAACTTTCACACTTTTTAATTCTGTAAATGTTAAAAAAGTTAATATATATATATATATATATATGTTGTATGATCTTAAATTCACTTAGTGCAAAATCGAGCTATTCTATATATACACAAGTATATAGATAAAAAAACTAATTTATTGCTTTAAAATAAGCTTTTGCTAAATTTTCTGTTAAAAAAAATTTTGTAATGCTTTTGGTTATTTTCAATCAAGAGAATGGCATGAACAGTTATAGAAACGGATACACATTTTTACCTGTCTAGATCTTTTTGAAGGTCTGCTGTCATCAAGATCCGATTTACGCCTTTTTCCACGTCCTGTACTTGCAGATGTTGAAGCTGAATGTGATTTTGTATCAGGATCTGGATTTTTGTCTTTAATGTAATAAGGGCCATATAAATCTCCAAGTCCTCCATGATGGCTACCTTTATGGCAAAACACACACAGCCAAGTTTTATCTCTGTTAAAGGCATCATAAGTAGGTGATAATGTACTAAGGTGTCCTACTTGCTTTTTTTTTATTCGACTGATGGCAGTGCTAAAACTTCTTTTTGCTGGTATCTTACTATTGACTTTTTCTTCCTCTTTTTGAGCAACATTTATTACAGATATAGATGAAGGATTTTCTTTACTGCCTGTAATATGAACATAAGGTCCACTGAATATTTTGACTTTTTTAGTTTTCAAAGGTACTTCTGCTACTTTTTGCTTTGCAAGTTCAAGTTTTTTCTTTTTATTACCCTTTTTACCTTTTTTCTTCTTCAACGAACATGACTTATTCTTAGACCCAACTGGTCTACCACGCTTTTTATCAGGAGTTGTATTACTAGGATTGTTTTCAGAGGCATTAATTTTTTTTGAAGTAGATCCATCTTTTTCTGCATTCCTTTCAACAGTTTCAACAACTGTATTATTATCTTTAACAGTAATTACAGAATTAGCAGCTACAGAGTTATGGAAGCCAAATTTTTTTTGAGACATTGCTGGAGATAAAATGATTATTTGTGGACCAATATTGGGAGATTTTGGATCTACTTTATTCTCCCCACTATTGTCACTCTGATTTTCATTAGATGATTCTTTATTATTATTAGGTACATGCCAAGTATCAGTGTCACTCTTTCTGATTCTGTGAATAACAACTTTAACAGGATTACGAGCTAGTTCTTTAATAGGCTTAGAATCAACTGCTTTCTGATTTGCAGTTGATTTAACTGGAAGTTTTTTAGAATCTAATCTAGATTCTTTTGCAGATTTTCTAGGAGTTCGATTTTCTAAACGTGTGTTTTCTTTTAGTTCATTTTCTGGAGATGGCGCTTCTTCATAACTTGCACCAACTTTTCGTCTCCTTAAAACACACTTTTTTGGGCTATCATTAGATTCCTCTTTTGCAGGAGTGACAGGCTCACTCATTTCAATAGTCCGGTGATCTGATTCAGTTTCAGTAACCTCAGATGAAGATTTAATGGATGGACTTTCTTGTTCATTTGAACCATCATCATCACTATCACACTTTTCAACTTTATTATCTGTATCAGATTCACTTTTTAATGTGTAAATATTATGATTATTTGTAGGTGATTTATCAGAATTAGATGATTTGTTATCTGAATTTGTGTCAGATACCTGATTTTCAGTAGCACTATCACAATTAGACTGCAAGCGATTAGCAGAGGAATGATTTGTTTCAACCTCATCTTTCATATTTAGCTCAAGTTTTACTTCTGCTTTAGAAGCACTATCTAATTCTTTTTTGCTTTCACCTGTTTTTAATGAATTAGACATTTCTGTTGTTTCAATATGAGGTACAGAGGCTGACTCTGAATTTTCAGGATCAGTAATTTCAGATGTAAAAGTAGCATTTGATTTTGATTCCAAAGCCTGTTCTGAATTTGTAGAAACAGGTGCTTTTGTTTGATCTGTAAACACAGGCGCAGATTCAGCGTGTGGAGGACATTCATTCAGTTTTAAACTACAATCTTTCTGACCCACACTTGTTTCACAATGATTCTGTCCTAAAACAGAACAGTTTTGCATTTGAGAAGGCGAGTTTGGATCTGAATGTGCAATATCAGCAACAACATTAGAATTATTATTACTAATATTTCCAGTAATATTTTCTACATTTTCACTAGTGAGAGGATGAGCTGGCAATGGAAAATTACAATTAGATACTTGCTGCACAGCAGAATATGCAGATGAGTCATTACTAGTATTATTTGGTTTTGATTCAAAACGGTTTTCATCCATATTGTAGTATGTTGAATAAGAAGAGTCTTTTGATTCATTACTAGCACCTTCTTCAGGCACATAATTGTGAGATCCACATGGATTCGCATACTGCTCTGCACCATCAACAACCATCGGCAAGATGGATTTTGAGTCTTGTTCTAACATTACCATTTTCTGCAGAGAATGTAAAGGATTTGAAGGATTGTGACTATCATTACCACTTGCATTACTGATGGATTGTGGAATCTGTCCATTTTCTGGAGGTGGAGGATGTGGCTGCAGATTCATTGCATGGGCGGCTGGAGGCGAAAATGGTTGACTATGATGACCAGGTGAACGTGCATGAGCATGAGCTGGTAATGGAGATGGAGTAGTCCTTGAGGAATGCATGACACCAGGGCTGGGAATTTGTGCTTGTGACCATGAATGAGGTGAATGTGCAGGAGACTGCATCTGTCTAAAATGCTGTTGTCCTTGGGAGGATGCAGGATTCATATTAGAGGTAGCATGTGGAGGAGATCTCATTGAAGTAACAGATGGCATTTGAGGAGGATTATTTATTAACTGAGGATGTGATGGTACCTGATTATATGGAGGCATAAGATCTGTAGAAGAATTATTGTCAGCCCAAGGCTTAGATGACATGTTTCTATTATTTGCTCCCACATAACCAGAATGATGATTTCTATACATTTCCTGACTCATATTAGGTCCATATTGATTTTGATTAGGTGCATAAGCCCCACCATGATGCCTATATGGCATGTTTTGTTGCATTTGATGATTACCATAATGATGAGGTCTAGGAGAAGGTATTGGATGGTATGGTGGGTTTGTATATGGCTGGTATCCAGTAGGTTGGCAATGAACTCCCTATAAATATAAAAATAAATAAATTCAATTTTCTTGAAGGATTTGGTAAACCAAAACTTGCTATTTTGACAATGAATTTAAATAATATATATATATATATATATAAACAAATGAAATCAGAACTTTTTTTGTTATGGATACTAGACTATAATTAAAAGAAAACACAACAATTTGAAACAAGAAATTAAATATAAATAATATTTCCATATAATATTTTCCCAGCAGAAACAGATCTGAAAAGCTGTATATAATTAACCCAATAGCTCCCCTTCCCCTCATAATGCAAGAAAATGCAAACTTATTCTTCGTGAATATCACATTTAAGTTTAAATTTCTATGCTATTACCATAATTTTTAAAGTAACTACATCACACTGAAGTATGAGGATCCAATGCAAATTATACATTGCATAAACTACAGTACATAATTTGTACCCACTAAAAATGGGATAACAGCCATGAATACAATTTACCGATGAAGGGAGAATTAATTATCACAAAATTGTGCTTTTATAACATATATAGCCTAGCAATCTATATAAAAGAACATCCTGCTTACAAATTTATTATTTACTAATTTATACTTGCAATATTTACATATATGTGTAAGATAACAAATATGCAAAGCAAAATTATAATTTGCCATAAGTCCCTAAACTTTCCAAAATTTGGTTATTCTCCCTTTCTGTTCTAAATGTAATAACAGCTTGCAATAAATCTCTAAATGATCAGTTTCAAAATTAATCCATGCCACAAGATTCTCACATAAAGCTTAATGATGCAAGCACTTATATAAATGCTTCAACGAATGAAATTTTAGCTGGAATAGGAAATTTTTATTAATAGTCAACAGCAGCATTGGGAAAATTATGAAATGAAACTCAAATCTTTTCTTTCTATACCAAGCTTTCATCTGGAACACACAATATTCCTGCTCTCGCTTGCTGTTCTGTGAAAATATTGTCCCTCAACACTCTTCTATCAGCTGCTTTGCCATAGGATGTAAAAAAGGAAGAAATGTAAAAAAAAAAAAAAAAAAAAAAAAAAAAAAAAAAAATACAGATTGCCTCATTACGATGTATAATTCATATTAAGAAGGTACTTCCGAGAAATAAAATGTGTTAAATTGCCCAATATATCTCCTACATCTTTTATGCAACAAGTTTCCATAGATCAGTGACGATATTAGTATCTGGACCTTTCCAATTTTTTTTTTTCATATTAGGAACGAAGACTAATGATACTCAGAAAAAGCTAATATGGAATAAAAAAATTTTTGTTTCAATTAGCTGACATTTCCCCTTTTACTAAAGAAAAAAATCATTGTTTGTAGTAGTATTGAATCCTCCTGCATGTTGTTTGGCCTTTAAACACCTACTGACTAGTGAACCACATTTTCTTTTTTGGTCCTTGAGTAGTTGTTAGGGAAGGGCAGCATTTTTTTTTTTTTATCTAACCTGCACAAGTGATGAACACTTAAAGATGTACAGAATATAGTCAAAAGAAGGAATGACAAAGTATTGGCTTTTAAGAAAAGAAATTTATTGCGTAGCTTTTGTTGAGTGAAAAATATATTTTTCTTATGAATGCATATGTATGACATGCACGTCATTCATGGCAACTTAATCAAATCATAAAAGGCAGAATCCTGTGAACTACATAAGTAGAAAACACAAGAAAAGAGTAAATTGTCTAGAATTTTTTCCCTGAAACTAAAATTTGTTTTTTTGATGACATATTTATGTTATTTTAGGATTTAATCACACAGATCTAGCTAGTCTTATGAAGTTCTCATAAAATGCAATAGAGATTAATAATAATCTTCCAATACTTTTTACATCAGAAAAAATTCAAAGTGCTACTTTGGTAGACGGTTGCACAGATTTTGGCGATTTTTCTTTTGGCTAGTAATACGACTTATGGTAAACCCATTGCTGGATAAGTTATTTATGGTAACCGATACTTTGTTGACATTTTATTTAAAAAATAAGACGTTTTATTATGCATAAATTCCGTGTTTTAAATATTATTTATGGCTTCTAAATATTAAAAATTAATTTAATTTCGCATTTTATTTGAAATAAAAATTTTATTGTTTATGATATTTTATGTTGTGGATGATGTAATCAATGACGTCACCTTACTTTAAAAGTAATTAGTTTTAATATCTAAAAATTTAATCTAATGTTTTAAACATTATTTATGGCTGTTAAATATTAAAATACAATTTTGCATTTTTTTTTTGAAAAATGATTTTATTATGTATGATTATTTAAATAATTTTAATTCTAGGCATGACGTAATCAGCTCTCTGATCGGTTACTGAAAATTTGTGCATTACCGCGCCATTTTAAAATTTAATTCACATCTTCGAATTCCTTCAAAGATGAATGTTGTTATTGGTAAGTACTAAGAATTATTGGTATCGGAATAAAAAAATTGTCCTTTATACTTCAGGGAGGGGCGGTTAAAGGATCTTTGAAATTTTAAAAACAATACCTATTATTGGAATTTTTTTTTCAAATTTTTTTGTTATTTTTAATCTTCATGATCTAAATTTGGCTCTAAATTGCTTTATCTATTTATAATTTTTTTTTTTTTAAATTTTTTTATTCCTGCCCTTGTTATTACATTTTTCTTGTGGTACTTATCAATAAACGACAGGTTAAATGACTCAAAAAAATGTAAGTACATATTTTTCTTTTATTTTATAATTGTATACTTCAATTTTTGTTAAAAAAATTAATACACTATTTTCAAAAATTGCTGAGATAATTATTGTCACATATGTTTTAATGTTAATTATATTCTATATAACGTACTTTAAAGTATTTGAATTTAGTAATATTTTAATTCTTTTAAGTGTTGGTATAATGTTTTTAATTCGATATTCAATTTAAGTAATATTTTAATCTAATTAAACATTGGCACAATGTTTTTATAGCAGTGTTTTTAGTATTTTATACTCGTAGTAAATGTACTTATTTACCATTTCCTGCCATCTTAAAAAACGACATTTTCAACAAAAAATGAATCCATTACTTTTAACGATACTTTTTTTTTTTTTTTTTTAAAGTTTTGAATACTTTACTATGCATAGAAACAGCGTTTTTCAAGACTGACGGTTGTAAAAACCGCGCCAACGTAAATCGCCAAAAATTTGTGTAACGTCTAACACACAGAAAAAATATATTTACTTGCATATTTCCCCCTTAGCTTCTTAACACAAGGTTCTGAAAAATTTTTTTTTAAGTATTCATATCATTTTTCTTTTTCTCAAAGCATCCAAAAAGTCAGACTCTCTAAATTTTAAAATGGATTTGTCCAGGAAGTGATTGTTTTCATCTTACTAATTGATTTACTCATGGATTTTGGGTGCAATGATAGATAAGCAATTAGTATAGTGAAAAGCTTCAAGAAAAATGAGATATCTAATAACCATTATGGTGCTGAATATCACTGCATGTGGGAAAATAGAATGAACAATACTGAAGATGACTTGCAAGCTGTTTGAGACCAAAGGAGTAGCAGCGGAACAACAATTAAAACAGACGAGATTCAAGCTACAGGAAGTAGAAACGAAATTATATTATTAGAAATTATAATGCCAATATTACTAAATATTCTCATTAGAATGCAGGTTTCCTTTAAATAATGTGTTAGTTATCGGTAGTTTATCCATGACTTTTCACCTGTTATATTCTTATTATAATCATATCCTTCAGAAATTAAATTATTCACATAATTCTTCCCTTTCGATTTTTATAAGATGAAATTAAAGTAAAAAAGGGGGAAGAAGCACAGGAGTAAACACGGTATTCTGCATTTTTGCCTGAATTACATTGTTAAAATACATGAAATAAAAGTAAATAAATAATAAAAATATCCAGTTTTAACGAAAGTTTCCAGCCATGGTAAATACAGTCTGCACAAACAGTTTGCGTTGGTGTGTTTAATCATATTTTGTCAATTTTTGTCATTTGAAAGAAAGATACTTTTTTTAGAACACTGTGTTGTGAAATTTGTAAAAAATCATCATTATTATTAAGTACAAGGTGTCTGAAATGGAACTATCACGCTACCAGATTAGAAACATCATTTACTTCCAGTTCTGTTGCAAAAAGTCAGCTACAGAATGTCACCAAATCACGTATACAGCTTTAGGTACTAACGTTGTATCAAATGGCACTGCGAAGGTTTGGTACCAAAAGTTAAAAAACAAGAACTACAACATTCAAGAAGCAGAGCGCTCTGGCTGGCCTACTGATGAAGCCCTCCTGCAAGAATTTGTGGAAGAAGTTCACTCAACCAACACTGCAACCACTCAAGAGCTTGTTAAGGAGTTCAACATTAGTGCCATGTCTATTAGTCGCACTATACATTTTATAAACTTGACATACAAGTTCAATCACTAAGTGCTGCATAAGCTGACTCAAGCAGATAAGGACAGACATGTTCAGGCCTGCACTAATGTGCTTGAATATCAATGCAAGGATAGAATTCTGGACCAGATCGTCACTTGCAATGAAAAGTAGATTTACTTCAACAACACAGGTCGAAAAGGAGTTTGGTCTGCACCTGGTGAGTTTGTTGGCAGGGACGCAAAGCGCAATTTGACTTACAAAAAGATAATGTTTCGTATCTGGTGGGAGTGCCATGGAATTACCTACAAAAAGTATCTAGAAAAAAGTAAAACCTTCGGCGGTAAGGTGTACAGCAAGATGCTAGTCCATACTGACAGTGCTATCAAGGAAAACCGTCGAACTGAGTTCCAGCGCAAAAAGGTAATATTCCGTCAATGCAAGACCACATGTGTCAGCATTCAATGGCTGAACTCTGCACAGACTTGAATGGGATCTTTTGCCATACCTATCATATGGCTCTGCACATTGGTCTTTGAGACCTCTACCTTTTTTCACACCTGCAGCTACATCTTGCTGGTGTTATCTTCCATTCTGCATAGGACATCTAAAATGAGGTTGATCTGTTTTTTGGACTTGTGGCCACCAAGTTTCTAGGCCAAAAGCTTTGAAAAACTACCCAAACACTGGGGAAAAAAATCTTAGTTTTGGGTGGTGATTACTACCTGCACTAAAGGTACTGCTTTCATGTTCCCCCCCCCAACCTTATTAAGAACGTTTTTTTGGCAGAAAACTTCCATTACAACCAGATATTTTTCACTGAAATAAATTAAGATTGAATTTTTGCCCAACTTTAAATTTGATACACTGTTCTTACATGTATTTAATATTTCCATTCTTAGCAATATGATTTCTCCAATACAGAAATTTTCAAAATTTAGCAAAAACTCTGATGCAGAAAGAAATCTGAATCTAAAAAAAGAAAGCCTTCTCATACACAAATTCAGTGTAACAGAAACTTACAATGATAAGGTGATAAATTCAAATTTAAGAAAAAAAATCAGTAAAACTATTCAGCATACTCTTACTTACTAAATGGTTATCATAATTATGGTCAGAATAATTCACACCAGGAGCTGCCGTACCTATTAAAAATAATAATATTAATATATACACACATAAATGTCTAATTAAAATAAATATTTATTACATAAAAAATGATCCGACTAATACAAATTTCCTGCACAGAATAAAAACCAGAAAGAAGTTAGACTACAGTTTTTGTTTGTAATATTGTCTATAATTTCTTGAAGAATGTAATATTCCCTTTATTTCCTGCAGCAGTCATTCTGCTTTTATATCAAGCAGTAAGTCATTTATGAGAATAATTTGCTGCATTTATAGTTATGTATAGAATAATTCACTACAATAAGTAATTAATTGGCTTCAGACTAATTTCTTTTAATACAAGTAAAAGACTATACTTTTGAATGTTTTAATTAATTTTAATTCTAAATTATTATTTACTATCATGCACTACCCTTGTTAATTTTACGAAAGAAAATAATTTCAAGCATTAAAAATAGGCATAAAAAGTACAGAAATATTTCTATTACAAGAAAAATTATCATTATAACAAATACATGAAACCTGCTAAATCATAAAAAGCCATAAATATTTATCAGCTACATATAATTAATTATGTACGTCATTACTGGTTTTATATACAAGTTATTAGGTGTAGAAATGCTGATTATTTAACCCTTTCACTACTAACGGGGTATATGTTCCACCAAGAGTTTAAAATTTACTACAGTCAAAAGTCGTTAATCCGGACTCGTAGGGACTTCGGCGATTCCGGATTATCGATCATCAGTTTAAATCTCGTAAGATGGCATGCAAAAATTCTAAAATTAAAAATATGAAACCGTAATTTATGAAATAAAGAACAATTATGATCTAAAGGGTATCAAAATTTAAAAAAAAAAAAAAAAAAAGCTTAATATTTATTTGTTTACTTTTTATTAACAACATTTCTTTCAATGTAAGTTGTTTAAGTTGCTTCGTTTTATGTGATAATACTTTCTCTTTAATTCTATAAACAGACATAATTTCTTGTTCAGTTACGAAGTTCCAATGTTCAAGTCCCGTAATTGCTGTGCCGAGAATACCGACTAACTTGTCAATCGAAATTTTTTTTTCGTTTTCACTAACCTCTCTGTCTCTGTCATATTCTTCATGTCTTTATCCATTTTTTGCAGCAATTCCACTTTTTGTTTGATGGACATCGAAACATACTTTCGTTTTGTAGATCGTTTGGGAGCCCCAGCATCGGAAGTTCTATTTGACATAATCGAAAGTTCAAGTTTACTTTTATAAAATTGCTCTTACAGTCTGCAAAAAATAATAAGCCGGATCCAATTCAAAAATTAAGGAACGACTTTGACTGTACTGCGTTAAAAGTACTTAGAAACACACTGCAGCGTACCCCAGTCTTAGAATCAAACCAGCTGTGCATGTTTCATCTTTTGTTACCCAGCTGGCATTAAATATTTTCCAAGCAAACGCCATTGCTTTGACCACATAATGACACTTTTTTTAATTTGTAGTCAAAGGGTTAATTAAGTATCTAGATTTTCATCAGAAGACTTTCCTGGGACTAGAGAAAATGCAGAATAGAATCATGGGGAGAGGGTGTGTGTGTGTGTGTGTTAAAGATGTAAAATGCGATCTGCCGAAAAAATGCTTTTAGTTAGATAGTCATGTTTTAGACGATGCGTTTTTTTTAAATATGAAAATAAACACAAATAATTAAGAATACTAAATTTTTAATTCCATTAACTTTAAATTCTTTCCAACTTTAGAAAACCAAAGCAGACCTTGAAAAGGTCTCTTTTATAAGTTACTTAGCCAGCCATGCAGCACAGCCAAAAATTAATTCTAAACTTTTATTAACACATCTTCACCTGTCTATGAGATACTCTACATGTTATGTAGAATCTTTAGCTTTATAATCCCCCAGCATGATTCAATTGTTTGAGTTTTAGTATTGGCTGCAAGATTGACATCGATCAGCTGAAAATTTTATCGGTTGATTTAAATGAAAGTTTTTCTGATTTAAGAAAAATTGACTTATCCACTTGGATGACACAGCCAATGTTAGTGGAATAGGCTCATATTTCAAATATGCAGTATCAAGAACTCGCAGAAATGCAAAATGATGAGCCAATTAAAACTTTACTTAAAATAAAAGGAGCGATGGCATGGCTTTGTGAGGAAATTATAAGGTATTTCTCCCGCCTTCCTAGTGTGCCTTCGTGGTGTAGTGGTTAGCACACTAAGCTAATATATTTCTCACTCCCAGCACCTATGCACTAACGAAATTAGATGCTGCAAATGCGGAGATATCCATCGCAGTAACACTTGCCCTAAGAAGCAGGACAGAACTCCCACATGTTTATTTTGCGGAAAAAATCATGTATCCAGTTATCGTGGGTGCGAAGTGTATAAGAAAAAATTCGAAAGAAAACCAGCCCCCCCCCCCCGCAAGACGACGGAATTTACTTTCAAGAGCGATGACTTTCCACACACTACCAGCCCACCAGCGGCCAAGCGGTAAAGTCGCTGAACACTGGTAGTTTGGTCTAAGGTTCGAATCCCGCGAACGGGCTGGCTGCATGGGTGTTTTCGTGGTTTTCCCCATGTGTAACGTGTATACGAGCCAGTTTCCCTTAGAAAGTCCTCCACGAAAGGCATCCCTCCCCTTAGGCAGATAGCCCTCGTGTGCTTTGCCATAATTAAATACACACACACACCATCCACACCCTACCAAAAATCCAGAAGGAAATTTCCCTCCAGAAAGCCTCGTACAGTGAAAAACTAAAGAGTAAAATTAATCAAGTCCCTGCAGACACTAGTGACACTATTAATTGGATACGAGATGGTAAGATTCAAGAATTTCTGGGAAAAATCATAAACCTCATTGAAAATATCAAGAAAACAAAAACTACCGCGGAGAAACTTTCATGTGGATTTAAAGCTGCAATGTACCTTGTAAGATTGCTGATGAAGACGTTTAAGGACCTTACATCAATACAGATGCAGTAATATTACGTTTTACTATCTTGTTCTTCACATTCTACACTTATTCTAAGTTCCAGTTTTCTGGCAGCATCGATTGGGGTCAGTTTCGTGGGGGGTGACCTCCCACATAACTGGCTCCGAGGAATGAGCAGTTAGGATCTAATGAAACGACTTTTATGACTGAGCACAGGACTTTGTTCGCATCAGCTCGACGGGCTTTTGCCGCTAGTAGCAATTTATCATCTATTAAGTTACTTTTTATTTCTTAGAGCTTTCCAGAACCAAAATTTATGTAATTGTTGTTGATATGTGTATTATGATTTTTGATGTTTTACATTTTTGTTCTAGGAATTTACTGGTTACTTCATCTCACATCTTTTGAAGCTACCAAATGTTCTACAAGGGGTAAGGCCTTCGGCCTAGGCACCCTGGTGTCCTAAACACCATTCTACTGGGGAGGTGGAAATATATTTCAGAGGTCCGTGGTTCGATACCTGGCAAATGCAATGTTAATTTTTCATCTTTCTTGCTTCCAAAAAAATACCTAATGTCTCTACAGTGGCGTCTGAGCTAAAAGGGTTGTGGATGATGACTCTCCACACTCAGGTTTTGGCGATTGGGTCCCCTAAAAACTCCAGTCGCCCTTTAAAAAGGGGGAGTATTTAAGGTATTTCTCGTGCCTTCAAGGTGTAGTGGTCAGCACACTGAGCTGGTATTTCAGAGGTTCGTGGTTCGATTCCCAGCAAAGGTGTTCCTAATTTTTCATCTTTCCTGCTTCAAAAAAAAAAAAAAAAAAAAAAAAAAAAAAAAAAACCAAATGTCTCTACAACTGAAATCAAATACCCAAATGCAACAAAACGTGCAAGAGAACTATTTTTACTGTTTCCATCTTCATATTTAGCTGAATGTGAATTTAGTGACATAAATAATTTGCTGCTTAACACTAGAACCGTGGAGCAGGTCAATTTGACCCAAATTGTTGTTTAATTTGTCACCACGCAAAAAGTATCGATTGAAAAAATAATTCCTTTCATGACTTTTAATAATTTAAGGTAAACAATAACTTAGTGAATTTGAAACTGTGTAACATAAATAAATTTCTGATTATTAACACTTATACCTAGAACCAGGAAGAGGGTCAATTTGACCCGTTAGAAATGTTTATGCCTAAATGACTAAAAACAGAAGCATTTTTTCTGAAGTAACTGTAAAGTACATCTGCCTCACTCTCTCATTCCTAAAATAGACTGCACCAGGTGGGGGAATAGTATAGATTTCAGTCCAGGTTTGAAACACGAACTGCATTGGAATGCAGTGGAAAACTACAACGAATATTTTGAAAGACTTTTTGAAGTTGCTTTTATTCTATACTTAGTATAAGGATAGATAAAATGTCATGATATCATTCAGGACTGTTCAACACTTTTCAGGAAGCTTTCGAATATTTCGAACAATTATTTGAAAATGATTCAGAAGATGATGATAATAATGACAGTGCTTCGAGTAGCGAGGATGAATACCTGCCTGCTAATCAGGGCTGTGGAGTCGGTAGGAAAAATGACAGACTGACTCCTGGAATTTTAAAGACCCTGACTCTCTCATATATGTAAACATATACACATGGGTTATAGTTTTTTTTTAATATAAAAGAAGTAATAAATACTACGGAAAAAAAAAAAAAAAAAAAAAAAAAAGATGGCATAGCAAATTATTTATATTAATTAGCATTTATTACGAAATGGAAAAACTAGCATTAGTTATTTCTAAGAAACAGTATAGCTTCAGCAAGATCTTCTTTGTTGGAGGGCCATAGATCCGATTTGATAAACTTCAGAGCTGAGAAGAGTCTTTCCACACTAACTTGAGTAGGAGGAAGAGCTATTACTGTTAGGGCTACTTCTTTTAACTTTTCAGGATAGCATTTAATAAGTTCTAAAAGAGGTTTCTTACAAGCGCATGCAATTTTTCATTTTTATATCTAAGGGCTCTTGGTTCTTTATTCTCATTCGCTTTCTTTGCCTTAGCCTTCTCAATATTATCCAAAACTATTTCTCAAAATCTA